ACGATCTGTAGTCTTAGGAATCCGAAGGACCAGTTCTACCCTGTCCCATTAGGTCTGGGGGTGTCAGAATCTGCTCAATGGCAGTGGGTTTGATTTTTTGGTACTTTCTTTAAAAATATATAGACTTTTCACCAGCACATATAGTGTTAGTACTGGCTGCCTTTTCAAAATCAAATTCATTACATTTAAAGCATTAGTTAAGTAAACCCGGTGCTAAAAGACAAATGTCATCATAGCTTTTGTTACATCCCGCCTCAAGACTTCATCCCTAGAAAGACATTTACCATGGCTTCTGGAATTGACTTCCTGGTAGTTAAAAACAAAGGCGCTCGGGTGGCACCATGGTTAAGCGCTCAGTTGCTAACAGAAAGGTTGGCAGTTCAAACCCGCCAGCTGCTGGCTGGGAGACAGATGTGGCAGTCAGTTTCCTTAAAGATTAAATCCATAAATTCATTTCATCGAGTTGATGCAAACTCATAGCCTTGGAAATCTTATGAGGCAATTCTTTGTCCTACACGGTCCCGGAGTTGGAATCGACTTCATGACAAATTTGGTTTTATTTAAAGAGTAAGGTCCGTGGGGTTCAAGAATGATAAGACTTTCTGTTCCAGCAAAGATTTACAGCCCAGGAAACTCTGTACAGGGTCACTATGAATCCATTCCATGGCAGTGATTTTGGTTTTTGGAACATCCCTGGGTGGTACAAATGATTTGCTCTGGACTAACTGTAGCGTAGTGGTTAAGAATCGGGCTGCGAACCACAAGGTCATCAGTTCGAAACTACCAGTTGCTCCACGGGAGAAAGATGAGGCTTTCTGCTCCTGTAAAGATTTACAGCCTCGGAAACCCCGTACAGGGTTGTACAGGGTTGCTATGAGTCGGAAACGACTCGACGGCACTTAACAACAACAACAACAACTGAAAAGTTAGCTGTAGAAACCCACATGGCAGCACCATGGAAGAAAAGCCTGGCAATCTACTTCTGTTACGATTACAGCCAAGAAATCTGGTGTCGTTTATCTAAAGACTATGTCAATAATTCTGTTTCTTGGTTTATTTTAGATGTTATATATCTTCTTCCTGTTAGTGCAGAAGGATTAAACATTATTTCAGCATCCCTTCATTTCTGCTCCTGCATTTTCTCAATATAATTGTTACAATTTGTATTTAAATCAATTACCAGTGTTTAATTGATGATGTAAGTCAAGTTCGCCACAGTCACTAGTATCTTGACATCCTTGTGTTGATGTTTTCCATATTTTCTTAGTTTCATTTCCTGGTGCTTTGAGAGGGAGAAGATCAAAGCATGTGGCCTTCATACCATTTTAAAATTTATTTTTAAAACTTTTTATTGTGAGTTGAGCTAAGGGTTACAGACCACATCATCAGCTTTAAACAAGTCATACACTTTGTTTCATCTCAATGATTACAATCCCCTCCAAGCAACAACAGTTACCCAGGCTTCCTCCCTGCGGTTCCTATTTGCATTCCACCCACCTTCCCATCCCTTCTCATCTTCATCCTTAGGAAAATGTTACCCTTCTGATCTTGAAAGACTGGCGTTCCATGGTGAGCTGTTGTCCCCACGCTAAACCTATAGACTGCTTGGCTGACAGGTGGGCCACGAGGATGAGTTCCTTTCCTATCATACCTCTTTTAACAAGTACTAAAATTATATTTGAAAAATTTTCAATAGGTTACATTTAAAATAAAAAGTCTCAAGATTTTATTTAGAAGGGAGAAGCTCTATTTCATCCTGATCTCTTATGTTTATTTATATATTTTAAAACTTTTTATTGTAAATAGAGTATAAGTCCATTCGTTTTCCATTTCAACAATCTACACATTTTGTTTAACCTCATTGCGTGTTATCCCTGCGAGGTAACATCATTTACCCACGTGCTCCCTGTTTCCTATTTCCAGTCCTCCTCCTTTCCCAACCCTTCTGAATTTTGTCTTAGGGTAAACACTGCCCCTTTCATCTCAAACGGCTGATTATTGTAGGGTGTCTGCACCTACCTCTTGTGCTGCCCATAGACCTACTGTTAAGCTGACAATTGAACCATGGGATGACTTCATTGCCAGACCCAAAGGGTGACTAAGGGTCATGGTCTTGGGGGTTCCACCAGTCTGACCTCTTATATTTACCATAAATGAAAACTATGCACTTTTTACATTTAAGATAGAATTTCTTATATCAATTTAAGAAACAATTGTAAAATTGGATTTTTAACTTTTCACACAAAGAGTTTTTGGTATCGTTATTAACACCCAGAAATCGGAACCACTTAGGTAACATTTGTTGCTGTTGTTAAATGCCTTCGAGTCGGTCTGTCTCATAGAGACCCTGTATAGGGCTTCTGAGGAGGGGCTGGTAAATTTGAACCTTGTGGTTCAAACCGACCTTGGGGTCCAGTGCATTATTCCACAGTGCCACACCAGGGGTCCTGGGTAACAGAAACCTGGGATTAAAAAAGGATACCCTATTGAAATGACAGATAAAGAAGCGATTCAGCGGGAAATGTGGGTATAATAAAGCCCACAATTCAGAAATGTTAGGAATCAAAGTCAAGACCTTAATTACCAACAAAGATACCAATAGTGCTTCTTTTGTCTTTCCTGGTGAATGCACAATTAGCACTAAATATTAAGGAGCTCTGGTAGCGTAGTGGTTACGAATCGGGCTGCGAACCTTAAGGTCAGCGGTTTGAAACTACCAGCTGCTCCGCGGGAGAAACATGAGGCTTTCTACTCCCGTAAAGATTTACACCCTCGGAAACCCTGTACAGGGTCGCTATGGGTCGGACCCGACTCGATGGCACTTAACAACAACAACATTAAGAGTAAGGAATCAACTGTCTACAATCTACCGAAAAAGACCATCTGCTTCCATAAATTTTGTTCTCGGCTCTTGCCAAAAGAAGAGAACATATTAACAAAATAATGGCCCTGCACTGTTAATTGGTAGGCTGTTTGCAGTTGTGCTATCGCTATTAGAATAAGCCATTCCTTCTGCTAAATTAATAAGCAGCCAAGATTATGTAATAGTAGCTTTCAGCAGCTAATTACATTTCCCACAATGCCTTCCCCTGTCCCCCCACCTTTCTGGGGCTAAGAATCCCACCAACTGCCAATATGTAGTCAGCAAGTCTCCTGTCCTCCTTTCTGTAGCCACAGACCAATGATAGGAATACCACCAATGAGTTTAAACTTGGAGGTGGCTAGCTCTGGATATAGGCATTTTGTACCGAAAAAAATGAGAAAGCAGCATTTGTAATTAGAGGGTGCATTTCACTGCATCGGATCTTTGACCCTATGTCATCTGTTTTGTGTAGCAGGGGAGAAAAGGGGACAACAGAACGTGGTTTGGGAGCATGACTGGGCAGGGAGCCGGGAGAAATTTGAGTGGGGGCCTAAAAGAACTATAGGAAGGCAGCTTGGTGCTTTACACCCCACAAGCAACTTCATTTGTATTCCAGTATTCATTAATCATACAGATTAGTAGAAAAAATTCCAAGCAGCAATACTAGTGCTTAAGTAGGGGAGGTATTATCAATTTTTATTTTGTTAAGTAAGGGCATTAAAGAATGCCCCCTATTATAAAGACATTTGAACACACACACACAAAAGGGAAGAGCATCATCTCGAATAAAGAATTTCTTTAAATTGAGCAAATTTAGCTTCATGAAAAATTAGCATCTGTACTGGGAGCCATTAAAAAAAAAAAAAATCTTAGCGATTGAACCTCTGCAAACAGGGACAAATTTCTAGCTTCCTTTTTAAGAAGTCAGGAGACTGGGGTAATGAATAGCATCCAACATGGGAAACCCGTGGCTGTTCAAGCAAGGTCACTTAATCCCGTGGGGCTCCCCTTTCCTCATCTGTAAAAGATGAGTTGGACTAGATGATTCATCAATTCTTCCATTAAAAAAAAAACAACAACAACACGAACATTCATTATGCGCCAGACACTAGGCTCAGCATTCTGATTCCTAACAGATCTATCATCTTTGTCCTTATCAGTCAACTCACATATTTACTAGTTGTTATATGTCAGGCAGTGGACTAGGTTGGGGATGCAAAACGGAATGCTAATTTATGATGTGCTAAACCGAGGCCAATGGGCACAAGGGTGAGAGATTCATTCTTACAAGGTTTTAGGGTCAGGCTTAACAGGAAAGGTGACTTTAGGGAGAAACGGCATGCCGGGCACAGCAAATCATCAATAATGCTAAACTGGACCCAAACGGGTCGGGTCGGGAGCGGCCCCATGTGAAGGAAGCAGAAATTAATCTCGGAGATGAGAGGCTGTCTGGATTTTTCAGCAGTGAAGCGGCAACAACCCATATGGTTTGCAGCTCTGAAGCAAACATGAGGAAGAGACTTTTTGCATAGTGGTGGGCGAAAAGGTGTCTAGATCTGGGTTGTAGCCGCGCCATGGGAAAGAGGGGCCGGGTTCCAAAGAGTTCTTGCTCCAAGCAAGAGCTGACTTGATTTCCCGGGAATTAGAGACGCCCCCCCTCATCATCCCCAGCCATCACACCTCCCTTGTCCCAGCCTCTTAGGGCATAGTCATCTGAACTCGAACGTGGTTCTTGCAGGTAGGGAACTTCAATGTCCCGCACGGATGTATCTGCCAAGGACGCCACGCAACCCCGTCCACCCACTAAGGACCCGGCCGGGCAGCAGCCCGCACACACCTCGGCGACAAGGGCCTCAGTGCGCAGGCGTGCCGGCCGACCGAAGCCATTTCCGGGTCACGTGGCTGGGCTTCCGGTCCGCGCCGCCCAGCTTCGCGGACACCCGGCCAATCGGCTTCCTTATGTTGCGCGGTTGCTGGCTCTGCCTCCGGTGTCGTGGGCGGTGGCCAGGCTGCTTCCCGCGCGCTGCCTAGCCCGCCCCTCCGCTAGCCGCAGCCCCGGCTCCTCCCTCGGACGGCCCCCGGGGCGGGGTCTATCGGCTCGCCCTCCCCTCGCTGCCTGAGCGGCCTTTTTCCAAGCGGGTCCCCTCCCCTCGGCAACACGGCTGCTGCTCCTCACCGCGGCGACAGGGGCTTCCCCTCAGACGCCGCCGCTGCCGGCCGAGACCCGCCGCGTCCGCGCCCCGCGGCCGCAGTAAGTCCCGGGGGGCAGATGGAGGTCGGGGACGGGAAGGAGAAGGGAGGGCCGGGCGCGCCCCCAGCTGCCCCTTGCGCCCGGGAGAACCCACCCCGCGCCCGTCCGGCGGCGACTCGGACACCGCGCCCCGCAACTCACTTCTCTCGGTGTCCGCGCCCCGACTCTACTCCGCACCCCGGCTGCAGGGTCTATCCCGACCGCCACTGGCACCTGTGGTTCGGGGATCGTCTCAAGTTTTGCGGGGCGTTTTGGGGAGGGGCCGCGGCCGGGGGCGGGGGCGATCGGGGACCCCTGGCGCCCCCTGCGCGGTGGCGGATGCCATTGTCTGCTCAGGTCCTCGCCGTCCCCTCGCCCCGGTGCGGCCAAGGGATGCAGGGTGGCCCGGAGAGGGGGCGTCGGCGACGCCCGGACCCGAGGAACGCTGGCCCCGAGCCCGCTCCGCGGCGGAGCCCATTGTTTTTAGTACCAACCTCGAGGAATTGTGGTGCCCTGTGATTTGCGGCAAAATCCAAAGCATTGATTTTTAGCAAGAGGGAAGGAAGGAATCCTTGTGCTTTGCGACTGGGTAGCGTCCCGTTTAGCAGATCGTTTGTTTTCGGGAGCGTCAATTATTTATTTGTCCAGTAAAGTGACAGGGCGGATGCGCGACCGCCGCAGACATCCTTGAGCACAGACTCCCGTCGTTCGCTAGCAAACCCCCACCTTTCCTGGACACCAAGCTCTAGGAATACTGAGTCCGTTCTGTTTTCCCAAGTTCTGCTAACGGGTTTGCATTCAGTGTGGTCCAGTTGATGCGTTCCTGGCTGGCACTTTGATAGCGAAATTGTGTTCGTATATTTTGAGCCCGTGAAGGATTTTAAGTGAGATACGATTGGTCTGTGGCTTTAAGCCAATTTTAACTTTAATAAAGTTAAATTGCCGCGTCATGAATTTCCAAATATCTTGTTGATGGCTTCTTTCATGATGACCAAAAATAAATAAATAAACAAGACAAATTTCTTAGCGACTTTGGTGATATAGGTCCATTTTATTCTGATTTGGATGTGCAAATTCCACCTTCCAAGATGGTGCGGTGGATATTAAAAATCGGGTTTGAATTATACTTGCAGTAGTACAATTGAAAGAACTTACAATAGTTAAAAGAAGAACAAGGCATCATCTCTGAATTTTACCTTTGAATTGCCTTTGTTGAAACAATACTTACCTGTTGGCAATTGAGATGAGCAGTTCAATTATAAGAAGGATTTCTTAAAAACTAAAGACATAAATGCATGGAGACATCTGTTGATTTGCAAATCCCAAATAACCACACACAAAATAGTCTTCAGTGTCAGATACACTAGAATTCAGCATCCACTCATGCTGTAGATGCAATGTAACTCTTAATAATCTGGGCTTTTTTGATGTTTGTATTCTCTCCCATAATATTACATTAACTCCATTCTTTATGGTGTGCATATTTACATTGGATTTTTAAAAAGTAAGGTGAGAACAAACAGATCATTAAGAATCAGGCTTTTATTAAGAAAAACATGTATTTATGGGATTTTTTGGGGGCTAATATTTTCGATTTTTAAATTTTGCTTAAAACATGCTAGCATAAACTGAAGAAAGCATTCTAAGTGACAGCAATCTTGTCTACTGGGGATTTAGCCCGGAACTTGATTGGCCTCAGGGTGAAAAATAGTTCTTTTTTTCTTTCTCACGGACCTAAAGCGAATGATGTACACAATTCTTCTTTGATGCATAGAGCATGTGACTAGGCATATAGCAACAGTAGAAAATATAATGTTTTCTGTGAGAAGAGTTACCTTTCTTTTTCTTCAAAGATTTCACGCCAACTGAACTGTTTTTCTTCTTTTCCATGCACTCCTTTCCAAACTTAGATGGATCATCATGCCCTAGGGAGGTTTGCATATAGTTGTTGTTGTTGTTAAGTGCCGTCGAGTCGGTTCCGACCCATAGCGACCCTGTACAGGGTTTCCGAGGGTGTAAATCTTTACGGGAATAGAAAGCCTCATCTTTCTCCCTTGCATATAGTAGAAAGAGCTTTAGGAAGAGCTTTTTTCCTACAAGAATTTCCTGCTGTGTTAATTGGCATAGAAATATTGATGGCTAGTAATCATTGTGTGAGTCCTGAGTCCTGGTGTAGCGCTGTACGATAAGCATTGGACTGCTAATCAGAACGTACCTGGTTCAAACCCATCAGATGCTCCTTGGAAACCCTATATGGGGGCCCCTGTGAGTTGGGACAGACTCTACAGCACTCACCAATAATCATTGTCACTTGATCACCCTGCTTCCCGTCCCCCAGCCAGGTTTTCTAAAAAACATGATTGTAGTCTTCACTCTATTGAATCAAGGTGTTGCATCTAATATGTAATCTTGGTTTTATTTCTCTTGCCAGATGCAGTTTATGTTGCTTTTCAGTCGTCAGGGAAAGCTTCGATTGCAGAAATGGTACGTCCCACTCTCAGACAAAGAGAAGAAAAAGATCACAAGGGAACTTGTTCAAACCGTTTTGGCACGCAAGCCGAAAATGTGCAGCTTCCTCGAGTGGCGGGATCTTAAGATAGTTTACAAAAGGTATGGCTTGTGTTCATCAGGAAGTGGAAATAACTATCAAATGTTTTATCTCTTATAATGTGAAAATCGTAGGCTTTTATTAGACACTATTTATGAATAATGATTAATAACACTTTAGATGAAATGAAGTGGAGCTTTTGTGTTTGATGAGTTAAACAGGTTCAAATGATTTTTTTAAAAGGCAGGGAAATAAGCTGTAAAACTATGTAATTAAGGGCATAAATGGTTTTATTATACTTGGTAAATATGGTCAATATTTTAATATATGTTACCCTAAATGTGTATTAATTGGAAAGTAGTATAGTCTTTAGGAATATTAGAACCTCTTTTAAATCTTTTAATGTACATTTCTCAACATGGTTCTGAGCAGGTTGAAAAAAGCATTTCTTCTATGACAGAACAGTTTTGGGGGGTGTTACGGATTAACATGAACTTTCTTCCCCATTTCTGGTCCCTTACATGCAGCTTACAGCGTTGAAGATGTACATCGCTGCACATGAGCGTGTTCTCTTGTGTGGGAGGAGTGCAGAGGACCTACAGTATGGGGTGCAACACAGGCTGAGGAGAAGGCTTCCTGTGGGGGAGATGGCAGGGGAAGAAATGAAGAGTTTTGGATAGAGTTCTTTAAAGTTCATCAACAGAAAACAGTAGAATTGAACTCTCTTGAGTGATTTTGAAGGTAGTATATGTGTTTGTAATTGTTGAGAAAGATCTTAGAGCTGGGAGGTATCGGAGAGTAGCCTAGAGAGAGATTTTTTTTTTTCTCAATCCCCTCCCCACCCCAGTCGTTAAGTGCTGTTGAGTTGGTTCTGACTCATAATGACCCTGTCTGGGGGTTTGGAAGAACAGCTGGTGGGTTTGAATCACCGACCTTGGTGGGGGTAGCTTATGCTTCAGCACCACACCAGTACTCACCCTCCCATCCCCCAGTAGCAGAACCTTAATAACTAAAACAAGGGGAAGTGGAGCTGCTCTTGTGAAATCCATTGGGGGTGAGGGGCAGATCCTGTACCCTCTCACTGAACCTCTACCCTCTACACTGGAGGCAGTTCCGTAGTTTGAAAACCACTGCTATTGAGCAAGCCTCCATTTTAAGACACTGAGAATTTGGGAGAAGAAGTACAAGGCCATATGCTAGTTAGTGACTGATTTCAGGCTAGAACTCAAATCTTAATCCTGTAAGCCAACGTTTTAAATAAGGATGCCAGAAGATTAGATTAACATTTCTGAAGAGGTCATTGTAGAGCCTGGAGGGGCGGGTGGAAATGGGAGAGCTCCACTAGGCGGCTTCCCCAGCAGCTGCAGGCTGCACGCTAGCCCTACTTTACAGAGGCCGCTTTCTATACCCAGAAAGGTTTACAGCCTCCAAACCCTATGCAGGGGCGCTCTGAGTTGGAACCGACTCCACGGCAGAGGGTATGGAGTCCTGGTATGGCACTGTAGGATAGGCACTGGACTGCTATCCTCAAGGTAGTTGGGTCAAACCCACCAGTTACTCCTTGGAAACCCTGAACTGGGGAAGGCAGGAAAAGGAAAGAGGAGTGAGCGGAGGGACTTGGGAAAACAATGAACTGGACAAAAATGGACTTTAGGTAGTGTGTCATCATTTGGAGAAGCCTAGTTTCATGAGGCGTGGGGGTGTGAGGGAGAATTAGGTGTAAAGTCTTAAATCAGCAACATAGAAGTGTCAGATAAAGGGACCTTCAGAGCTGATGTCAAGGAAAGGGAGCGAGTTTCACATATGGGCTCCCCAGTGGCAAATGTCACAAACAGTGCAATTCAAATGGAGAAAGAATCCAGTAGATTTTACAGTGAGCATTTCACAAATTGCCAGAACATTTTCAGACGAGCAGAGACAGAACTCTCGATGTAATAGGATGAAGTGTGAAGAGGTGGAGAAATGTAAACTGCAAGTGGAGTCTATTTTGGGGAGCGTTGTTGTGAAGGAAAGGAGCGGAGGTGGTAACCACCCCTGCCATAGACATAGGAGTGGGGGACAGGGTTAAGAAAGTGTGAGGGACTTAAGCTGATTTATAAATAGGAGAAGGAGTCCCCCGTGTGGAGGAGGAAAATACCAGCAAGGGAAGCAGTCCCATGCATCAAGAATTCTGCGGCTGCAGGAAATGGCCTTTTAAGCTGCCGAAGAGAAAGCAATAGCTGGTGTTTCTTGTCACTCAGCCTGTCCCAGATTGGGCCACCACTTTTTCTTTTCACAGCTGTAAAAGGGAATCTAACTTGCTTGCAACTGAAAGGTGGATTGAACATTGAATCCTACCAGCTTTATTAAGCTTATCATTCCCACACAAAAGGTGCAGTTAACCAGTGGCCTTCCAACAGTTAATGGAAACATTTTGTGATTTTTTTTTTTCATTGCCTTTTTTTTTTCCCGAAGCTCCCTTGTTTAATCAGTTTTTCTATATCTCTCCCTCATTTTGAACTGAAGACCTCATCGATTCTACTACTTCTAGCATATTTTGTTGTTGTTGATTTAAGTAGATGATTTGTTTCCTCTATCCCGGCTGGAAGTGAAGACCTTTTAAGCAAGAGAGTTACCATTAAACACCTGAGAAATTTTGTTCCTATCAGCAAGGGAACTTTATGGGCTCCAGAAGGGGACTCACCATAGTCTTCATCCTGAGAACTAACTGCTCATAGGAATTCCCTCTTTGGGAGAGAGCAGGGAAAGGGTGAGGATAATGCAGTAGCTTTGAAAGCATAGACTGAAAATCTGGGGGTTCCGAATTCTAGTCCCTGCCTGAACCATTGACTGACTAGCTTGGTGACTTTGAACAAGTTGTTTTTACCTTTGTTTTCACATGTCTCCAATAAATGTTCTTGAAGGTCCCTTGAAGATAGAACCGAGTACACTCTTTGATTCCTGTTTCATGCAATATTTTTTGGAAGAGAAACTGGATTAAAGTCATTTAAAACTTACTTGAAAATGCATACACCTCCAGATTACCAATTTGAGACTTTATCGAAGATTGCTCTATTGATTTGCTTTACTAACAAAAGACTTTTTAATGACATGCCAGTGGATACTGAGAACAGTTGAGCTACATTCACCAACAGTCAGCTGATGTTTAGCTGACTGCAGAGAAGTCGTGTGTGGAATATAAGAATAGGCACTTTCAGATGTTCTCCAAGTGCCAGTAATTAGAGGAAACCTAATCCACTGGGTTAAAAATATCCAAACATACCTTTTTTCTTACTAGTCCACTGCTAATTTTACTTTACTTCAGATTTAGTCTTACAGATAGGCACTAGGAACAAAATGAGCTCCTTTTTGAATTTTACAAATCAGTTGGTTCTGACAATAAGGGAGTACACACTTCAGGTTCTCCTGATTATCTTTGACTAAATGAGAATGACACTTTTTATTTCTCTCCTTCTTCAAAGCTCTTAAAATACTGCTTTAAGAATGCTTTAATTTTGTGCCAGGTACAGGATTACTTTGGTACAATTCTTGGCTATAGTATTTAATAAAACAAAACAAAACAAAAAACCTTGGCCTCTGGAGTCATACCTCTTGTTTCACTCTGTACCCTGGGCAGATTATTCAAGCTTCTATCTCCTGTTAATGCTGCAAACAATGGTGCTCTCGCTGGTGCTCTCTCTCACTCATTCGACTAAAATGCTAAAATACTACAAAACTTTAGCTAACATTTGGTGTTTCACTTGGGGCTCAATGAATATCACTTGTTATTATCAGGGCTTCAAACCACTTCAGAAAGGTTCCATCATAGCCATTGGAAATGTAGCTGTTGCATAGCAACATAAGGAGCAAGTCAACACATTCAAGGCAGCGCTGGGGGCCACTATCTTTGAGTTTGGCTACTGCTTGGGTCAAGAGATTTGATTGCTGTGCAATACCTACACTGCCCTTGTTGCCCTTGTTTCCGTGGGCCATGGCTGAGCTATTCCCAAGCCCTGGTTATTATGATGTGTCTGTTTCTTTCCTGAAAGCTACATCTTCACCTCTAATGAAGAATGCCTTAATTTGATGGCTGCTTTTCAACTCCGAAGGAAAGAAGACATTTAAATAGTGGTCTGGAGGTGTTGCTATTTTGTTTGTTTTTGAGTGGGTACCCAGAAATGAACTGGGGAACCTCTTGATGTTTATAGGGGGGGGGGGGTTGTTAATGTTCCTTAGACACATCAATCCTGATCATCTGTAATGTGTCATAAAGATTCCCCTTGTGTGGAGTTGCAGTACAGCTTGTTTATAAGGAAAGGCATGGCTATGGAGGAAGCATGATGATGGTGCTTGTATTTTCAACAGCAGCAATTAAGAAAGGAAGAAGAATTTGATCCCAAATGGAACAGTAAACTTGGCATCATGAAATCATTTCACACTCTTCATGTCGGCTAGACATAACTGGTTTAGTTCTACTTACCGTTTTTGTCAGTCCCTTTACTCATGAATTGTTTTGATTTGGGGGAATCTTAGGAATCATACGGATTAGTCTCCCCAAATTCTCAATTCTCTGTGGTCAGTATGGGCTGGGGCAAATAGTTTGAATCCCCCATTAGCTTTTATAGGAGTAAAAGCCCACTGTAGTAACGGGGAAGAGCAGGAGCGATCTATCTGTTCAAGCTGGAAGTAACACCCTGCGCCGTCCTCCATGATTTAGTCCTTCTACAGCAACAGACTAGGTCAAAGGCGGACAGGAGACCCACCCGCACCGTTTACAAGAACTTTATGAAGGTGTAAGTCTCATCGAATCGTCAAAGGATCGAGCCATATGTACGATGAAGGAAGCCCTCATGGTAGAGTAAGAAAAGCCAAAGATCTGCAACTCAGTTCAGAAGATTATTAACAAAACACAACAAATTACCCTTTATCTAACTGCTGTTAAATAAGGTGAAATGTTTTCGATGGAGTGTTACATAAATACTGAAAGGAGCCCTGGTGGCTCAAATGGTTAAGTGCTCAGCTGCTGAGAGGTTGGCAGTAAGAACCCACCTGGCAGCTCTGTAGGAGAGAACCCTGGAGAGCGGTTTCCATAAGGGTTGTTGTTTACTGTCCTGGAGTTGATTCCAACTCAGGATCCTGTTTAGGGTTTCTAAGGAGTGGTTAGTAGGTTTGAACCACTGACCTTGTAGTTCTAGCAGTACAGTGCTTATCCCACAGCACCACACCAGGACTTCCTCTTAAGGATTGCAGCCAAGAAAACCCTATGAGGCAGTTTTACTTTGTCAGACAGGGTCACTATGAGTTGAAACCTACTGGTCGTCACCTAACAATTGTTAAGTGCCATCAAGTTGGTTTCAACTCATAGGGACCCTGTATAGGGTTTCTAAGGAACAGCTGGTGGTCACCTAACAATGACACCCCAAAATACTGGTTGTTTTCATAATGGAGAACAATATGAAGTACTTGGAATTCCTAGTAATATTTGGAATCCCAAAGCAGATTGTGTGTGCTTTCCTATATATTATTTTATGCTAACATTACAAGCAGTAATTGCCCATTATATGTTTTTGTATTCATTTGCATGCTCTCCTTCAATCTCAGCTGGGACTTTTGATGATCATGTAAATTTGTCTTCCCTGCTCCAAGTATAACCTAGCCCTATGTTGTTGGAATCCTAATTTAGAGAATTAGTTAGTAATTTAGAGAATTAGTTAGTAGCATTAGTTCTTCTCCAATGGTAAATGACCTTCAGTCTAACAGTGTAGAACATGGACATTTTGAGGAAGGGTCTTGGTTACCTTTAAATGGATCGGTGTTAAGTGCCATCGAGTCAGTCTGACACTCACAGAAGCAGCAGTCAAGAAATCAAACGACGTATTGCATTAGGCAAATCTGCTGCTCAAGACCTTTTTAAAGTGTTGAAGAGCAAAGATGTCAGCTTGAGGACTAAGGTGAGCCTGATCCAAGCCATGGTGTTTTTAATAACCTCATATGCTTGCGAAAGCTGGACCGTGAATAAGGAAGACCGTAGAAGAATTGATGCTTTTGAGTTATGGTGTTGGAGGGAAATATTGAAAGTACTATGGGCTGCCAAAAGAACAAACAGATCTGTGTTGGAAGAAGTGCTGCCAGAGTGCTCCTTGGAGGCTATGATGGCCAAATTTTGTCTCTCATACTTCAGACATATTGTCAGGAGGGACCAGTAGCTGGAGGAAGGATATCATGTGTGGTAAGGTGGAGGGTCAGAGAAAAAGAGAAAGACCCCCAGTGAGATGGATTAGCAAAATGGCAACATCAATGGGTTCAAGCGTGTCAACAATTGTGAGGTTGGCCCAGGATCCGACAGTGTTTTGTTCTGTTGTGCATAAGGTCGCTATGAGTCGGTGCCGACCCAATAGCACCTAACAACAACAACAAAGAGCAGCTAGTGGGTTTGAACCGCTGACCTTGTAGTTAGCAGTCCAGTGCTTATCTTACAGCATAGAACGTTCTATTCCTGTTTACTAACTCCTGTATATGGCACTATAGGATAAGCACTGGGCCGAATAGTCAGTTTAAACCTTGAGGTCGGTGGGTCAAACTCACCAGTCACTCCTTGGAAACCCTGTAGAGAGTCACTATGAGTCGGAAACAACTTACAACAACAACAACAACAACATATCCTGTCCCAACTTGGAACTGTTTTCTTGGAATTTTTCCACAATCCTAGAAACTTTCTTTTCAGAAAAAAAAATTCAGAAATTAACATCCGTGAGACCAGAATTATGTTCAAAACATTAGTTTCTTGGACTAGTGTTTTGGTGTTACTTTCTTAACCATTTTATGCTGTCAGAAGTCAAGATGATAGTTTTCTTTGCGGGTGGGAGGTGTGACAGAAGAGAGTAGACAGGGTTTCAAGGAGTTGGTAATGGTGTCTTCCTTGATCTGGATGCTGACACATGGGTGGGTTCACTCTGAAAATGTGTCATTTATGTACGTGTATGACTTAACCATTCTTCTGTGTGTGCAAGTTTGTTTAACACATTGACCTCAAACTGACAGTATCAGCCCTCCCATTGGCGAGCTTGTTTTCCTTCCTGTTTACGTGTACTTTGAATTAATCCCACAATGTATTCTGTTTTAATTAAATAAACGGAAGGAAAACCTGGGTTAGCTGAAAGAGCTTGAAAGGAAGAATATAGCAAAGAAGTTATTGTTTCTACATAGAAGGATTGATTTTTTTTTTTTTTTGCTTGCTTGTCCGTTTCAAAATTTCTCTTATAAGTCTTTATCGTATTTACAGTCTAGGAGGAAAAGGCTCTGTACTGTTGTTGTAAAAGAAACACTAAACTGTATGAGCTTAGGGACTTGTCCAAGAGCTTATGACAGCTATCTAACAGACCAGATTCTAGGTCACATTGTTTCCCGGGTCACATTTTGTTACAGATACGCTAGTCTGTATTTCTGCTGTGCTGTTGAAGATCAGGACAATGAGCTAATTACCCTGGAAATAATTCACCGCTACGTGGAACTACTTGACAAGTACTTTGGCAGCGTGAGTATTATTTTGGTCATGTTTTGCTTTTTAGAAATTATATGCCATAGTGGGCTTTTTGTTTGATTTTTAAATTTGTGAACCTTTTCTATAGTAAGTTGGTTATTTGATTTGGGAGATTTGGATCATTTGAAAGTAGCTTTGTGACACCGACAGAATGACAGCTCCTTGTCAGCGTTCTTATTTCCGTAAGTACCTGAATTGTGTGACCTTACAGAGTAAGGTCTGTAAGAATGAGATTTCAGATTGTGAAACAGAAAGGAGTCCGAGTACAAGCGTAGCCCTATTTGTTGTTGTTGATGTGATGTGACGTGCAGTCAGTTCCAATTCATAGTGACCCTGTACAGGGTTTCTGAGGCTGTAAATCTTTACGGGAGCAGAAAGCCTTATCTTTCTCCCGCAGAACAGCTGGTAGTTTCGAACTGCTGACCTTGTGGTTCGCAGCCTGATTCGTGACCACTACGCTACCAGAGCTCCTTATAGCCCTATTTAGAAAGTGCTTAATATACAGTTTAGATTTGGTTAGCAGTTCTAGTCACATTCCCCAGGAAATGGGTATATAAAGATCAGGTTTCGTGGGTAGAAAATGGTGGCAGTTTCTCATGGAGGGAGCATGCAGAGTTAGTTGGGTCTTACCCAGCCCATAGACAGTGGTTTTGGAAGCACTTGCATTAGGAAACTTTGCCTTGCTTGGTGGGCCTGCCTACCATTTTCAGAAAGCATTCCAATTCTGTCAGTCCATTCCAATTGTAGCACCCTCCTCAAAGTGGGCAAGGGTTGCTCGCCTCTTTCCGTTTTAATAGTACTCTTTTGACTTTCCAGGTGTGTGAACTCGACATCATCTTTAATTTTGAGAAGGCGTATTTTATTTTGGATGAGTTTCTCTTGGGAGGGGAAGTTCAGGAAACATCCAAGAAAAATGTCCTCAAAGCAATTGAGCAGGCAGATCTCCTGCAGGAGGTAAGCTACTAGTTGATTTCTCAACTTGGCACTAGCATGTTGTGCTCTGGAGTGGGAAATCTCAGTCATTTCTCCAGTTTCAGAAGTTACTCCAAGGCATGCTTGGCATGTAGAGTCCACATGATCAGTCACATCAACTCAGTTATCTGGGGGTAGCTGCTTCACTTTGGAGCTGGTCTGTCAATACCAGTTGTCGTATTGATGGCTCGTATTTTGGAGCAAAAAACACACTAGAGTCTAAACCTTTAGTGGGCAGACTCAGAAAGGAAAAGAGTCATCAAAGGCGACACTGATTGGAGTCCTTTATCGAATATTTTGAATTACTTCAGATGACCTCTTGCTTCCTTTGTGTGGATAATCATGAGTTGACTGTGAGATTATGACATTTTCATTCCAGATTGGTTCACATTTTCACCTCATGCCCAGTAAGCGTTCATGTAGCCAGATAAATGATGGTGCCTTATAATTACATTCTTCGTAGTACCCTTTAGCCTTTGTTAGTTTAACTAGAAAGAGAAATAGTTGTACCACTCTTTGCTCTTCTGAAATAACAAACCATATTCTGTCAAATTTCTAGATTCCTCTCTAGATATCACCACCTCCTTCCTCTTTCTAATTACCACAGTCATCCTGGTTTCATTGTATGTTTGATGTTTCAGTACCTTAGATTTCAAAAGTTTGAAATTTCATAGCTAATGCTGTCTTTTTCTAAAAGCTAGCAATACTTAATGCAGCTACCAAGTTGAATTATGCTTTAGTGATAATTGTTTTTATCATATAGAAAGGTCATAGCATGAGAAGGGGTTAGGAAATATAACCAATGCAATATGTTTTCACTAAGGTAAATGTTAAATATACATTTGTATATACATACAGATGCAAATATGAGGGGGCTTTAAAAAGTTTGTAGAAAAGGTGAATGAAATGATAATGGAAATTTTCCACATGCTTTTTGAAGTACCCTTATATGTGTGTGTATGTGTATATTTACATACTTACACATATGTGTGTATGTAAAAGGTCTTGAATACTTGTGGTCCACTGGTCCATTTTCCAGAAGCATTAATGATATGATTTTGTATTTCTAGCTTATATTCACTTCTTGTTTGCTCCATGTTTATCAGTTTGTCAGTTTTATGTTCAACAAATCATACATATACTTTGCTTCATTACATGTTTGCAATCCCCTCCACATACCAACAGTTACTAGCATTTACCTCTGTTCACTTTAACCATTGTGTCTTGCTACTTGTATTTCCTGCTACCTTCATGTTTCCTCTGCTAACCTCCCTCTGTTGTATATTGCCTGCCCCTTCACCCATGAATAATTTTCCCTCCCCACACTCTCCACAAGCATCAGATTGCTGCCTTTATCAAGAAAATGTGTTTTTTTAAACGTTTTTCAACATTGGTCTCATACAATGCTTATCCTTTTGTGATTGAGTGATTTCACTCAGGTTCAACCATGTTGTAAGGTGATTCATAGATTCATCATTATTAAAAATTTTGTAGTATTCCATTGTGTGTACGTACCAAAGTTTGTTTAACCAGTATTCTGTTAATGGGCATTTAGGCTGTCTCCATCTTTTTGATGTGTCTCTTATAGACAGTGTATTAAAAGATCCTGTTTTCTTATCCATTCTGCTCTTTCTGTCTCAACTGGTGCTTTAATCCATTTACATTCAGTGTAATTAGCAATAGGTGTAAACTGATCATTGGCAGTTTTCTGTGTGTTTTTTTTTTTGTGTGTGTGTGTGTGTGTATGTGTGGTGCTGTTGGATTCTTTGTTCCACATAATTTTTTCTGTGTTGAGTTCATTTTGTTTGTGGATTTTCTTTGTATTTTCATTTCTGTTGTGTTAATGTTTACAAAATCTTGCTGATTTTTTTTTAATTTTTTATGTGCAGGTGTATTATTTTTCTTTCAGGTAACCCTGCAATTTATTCTTTTTTCCCCTGCTTAAAACACTCTGTTTTAACTTGAAATCTACTTGACTTCATTGCCATTTGGAAGTTCTGTATCTACACTATTCCCTTATGATATGTCTTGATGGTTTTCTTGGTGATCTGTCTTGTTTGGGGCTTGTTCAGCAACAACTCTTCAACATTTTTTTCTGTGTTTGTCTTTTCCTGTTCTGAAATTTGCATCACCATAAGTTGTTTTTCTTCATGGTGTCCCACATACTAACTCTTAGGCTTTCTTTGGATTTTTTTCTGATTGTTTTTCTAGCATCCTAGTGTTGCGAGATTTCTCCTCAAGCTTGCTTATTCGGGCTGTCATTGCTTTGCATCTATTCCTTTGCCCTTTTGATGTATTGTCCATTTCTTAGGTCTTAGTATTAATCTTCTGGATTTCTATTTCCAGATTTTGTATTGCTTCAAAATTTGCATTTCTTTCGTCTGTTTATTCTTGTAGTGCTTTCCTGAATTCTTCTGAAGTTTTTACTGTGTTCTCCTTGCCTTCCTATAGCTTTCCTGTGTATCCTTTAAAGGTATCTAATTATCTTTCTTTTGAATTATTTTTTAGTTAGTTCCATTACTATTTCTTCCTCAAGCATTTTCTGTGTCTGCATCTTGGTCATTTGTTTGAGCTATCCTCTCCTGTTTCTTTGAGCTCAAATTGTCTGCTGTCTCTGGAGCATCACGGGGCTATCATATTTGTAAAACCAAGCAGTGCAGTTGTTGGGCCCGGAGTGGGGAATCTGTGGGGGATTCCCCTGCAATCCAAGGAGCTCACAGGGGTTGGGGGGGAAGTGGGGAGGCGGTTGTGGAAGGGATGTGACAGCAGAATTCCTGGCCCTGAATGGTGTTCCTATTGGTCTCGGTGTTATCTATGTTCAAGACTCTCGATCTGGAAGTAGTCCATGGGGGCCCTAGATGGAATTGGTTTCAGTGTCTCTGTTAGGACCACAGGGAAGCTGGGAGCAGGGTGACCAGTTAAATGCTGCTCTGGTGATTCTGTTGGGTTTGTAGGTCTGGAACTGAGCCCACCTATATCCAGGCACCAAAGTGGGACGGACAACCCCTACCTGCCACTTGCGTGGCTCCTAACTCCCGGCGAGCAGTGTCTGTGCTGGGGGTGAATGAGGGTGGGAGCTGGCCACACACTCTGCTCATCAGGGGAGCTGGAGAGAAAGAAGAAATCGCACCTCTTCTGCTAGGTGTCCTGCCATTGCCAAAGCTGCTCACAAGATGGCCAAGCCGTGTCTGGGCATCCGTTCACCAGCCAGTCTCCCTCTCTCACCATCCTGCACTGTTCCCTCTCCCAGCAAGCACTCCTTCCATCCACCTCTCTAACCTTTCTTCTGACATTCAGGGTACCAGAATTTTCATATATGTCTGGTTTTTATTTTGTCTTTTGTATCTTTGTTGTAGAGGGTCCGTGACGTTTATCTGCCTAGTCCACCATCTTGCCAGAAGTCTGTCAGTTTATTCTTATATATTGTTAAGGGAGACTTTAAATCCTCCTCCTGCCTTTTTTTAAGCATCTCTGTTATAAAGGAAATGTCATTGTAAGAGAATGGACTAAGAAGAGTGAATGTAAATCTCTTTTTCACTTTTATAATTTGGTAACACTTGACCTCTGTAAGGAATAGGGAGGGAAGCTGCTCTGGGGTCAGTTGTGGGAATTGATCGAAGCTGAAATGACACTGTCCACAGTGTACTGTGCATACATCAAATCTGAGTGCATGTTCATTGTTCAAACAGCAATGAATTATGATGCCTGCAAAAGTGTTCTCTTCAGTAGTGAAGTGAGCTCAGAATTGGTCATGCCTGTAGAATTTGCTACAGTTGTTTGTTACATGATTACAAACAGATCATCTTAGAACATCAGGCATGCTCCCTGCAAGCTTCCTCTACTATTGTAAAGTTGGTTTCAAAGAAAACACCTTTTGGTTTACAGTGCTGTTCACTAATCAGACTTTTCTAAAACTTAGGCCAAAACCAGGGTCAGGAATTGGGAATGTTTCATATTGTCTCTTTTCTTGATCACTTGTATTTTTCATTTTTATAGTGGATGAGCCCTGGCATTGCAATATGTAAGTGCTCAGCTTCTAACTGAAGGGTTGCTGGTTCATACCCACCAGCCACTCAGTGGGAGAAAGAGCAGTCTGCTCCCATAAAGACTGACAACCTGGGAAATCCTCTGCAGGCAGTTCTACTCTGCCCTGCAGTGTGGCTCTGAGTTGGAATCCACTCTGCAGCAGTGGCTTTGTTTTTTTGAGCTTCTTATGGAGTAAATGATATTCTGTGTTACCAGAACCTGCAGTTTCCTCAGCTTCTTTACCATGTCAGTTGCATTTGCTTTAAAACATTTCTAAAGTTACTTTTAAAAAGTACATTTTTTAAAAGTCTTGAGAGGAATGTTTAGGGCACCAGTATCTCCTTTTGCCCTGCGGTTCCCATCGAATCTTTCTAGTTGCTGTTGTCATTCGATCCCATAGAGAGAGAGCTTTTAAGGGCATAGTGCTCAATACAGACATTCTTTCCTAGTTGAGCTAAACTACTGTTTGGTTTTTAAGAAGATTTCATGGTCTGTTTATGATTCATGGTTTAAAATTTTATCTCAGGGCAATAGTTTCAGGGGTTCATCCAGCCCCATGACTCCTGAAAGTTTGGTTGTTGTTGTTGTTGTTAAGTACCGTCGAGTCGGTTCCGACCCATAGCGACCCTGTACAGGGTTTCCGAGGGTGTAAATCCTTACGGGAGTAGAAAGCCTCATCTTTCTCCCGCGGAGTGGCTGGTAGTTTCGAACCGCTGACCTTAAGGTTCGCAGCCCGATTCGTAACCACTACGCTACCAGAGCTCCTGAAAGTTTGGAGTCCATGGGAATTCGAAATTTTCTTCTGCATTTTCCCCCTTTTGATCAGGACTCTTGTATAGAATCTTGGACCAAAATATTCAGTGATAATACATTGTCTTCCTTTTTTATCTCTTTAATCCGAGAAAATGGAATGGTTGGGGAAGCATAGGATGACTCGGGCCCCATATAGCGGTCTC